GAGAGAGAGAGAGAGAGAGAGAGAGAGAGAGAGAGAGAGAGAGAGAGAGAGAGAGAGTTGAGCAACATACCAGTTTCCATGGTGCATTACCACTTCTATCATTCAGGCAGACATCCTGAATGTTGACAGAAAGCGTAGAGGCCGATATTTCACCATCAGGGTAAACATCATATTCGAGCCCTATGCCACATAGTGCAAGCTCTAAACAAACAGCCAAATCCCTTGAACAAGTCACAGTAGAAATACGAGATGTGTTACGAAAGCTAGAAGACCAGTCTGAGCCACCATACATTCTCCAGACGACATTCATGTTCTTAAGAAGTATGTGACCCTCAGCTTTTCCAATATCAACATAATCAGAATCACTGGAAGAAATTTCAACATCTACAGCCTCCTTCGGCATATTGATCTGCTCTAGTTTCGAAGCATGGTTTTCTAAAATTCTTAGTGACGTATCTGCATACCATCCACCAATACCCAATCGAGACTCTCCAGCAGAAGCAGATTTGTAGCCAGTCGGGTCAGATGACTGTTTTTTCAAAGCGCGGCCTGAAAGGGGGCGTAAATCTGATACGAAATATTCTTCTATAAAAGTGGGAACATTTTCTTCTGAAGGCGAAGCTCTACTAGCCACTAGAGAACTTTCACCAGTTGACATGGCAAGATGTGATTCAAAACTTTTAGTATGACCATCACCATCAACCTGGAAGACATCTTCACATATTTCATTCATCAAATTCCCTACCATAACTTTCTTATCTAGACTCCAAGTCTCCCCCTGAGAAAGTGTTGGAGAAAAATCACCAACCTTCTTTTCATCACTGGCATCATGCACCTGCTGTGCATTGTTCCACCTATTCTCCAAGTGCACAACATAATCTCGCAAATCAGGCGAAAATAGCTTTTGGAGTTGAGCAGCCAATCTAATTAATGCTGATGTCGTGTCATGGCATGTATTCAAAACGATGTGTGAGTCCCCACATTCTAATTCCCATGAATGGCCGTTCACACAGTTCGTCCTAAAGAGTGCCTCAGTATGAGCCTCTTCTGCAACTTTCACATAGCCAGTCTTGCGAAGGAAATCCACACTGTAATTACTACCAAACAACTCAGATTTCGGCAGCATACGAATGAGAAAACCAAGATCTTGCAGGCCAATCTTGTACTCTCCTTCACTGCAATCAACCAAAGTAGTATTCGAAAGTTTCAAGGAAGACGCAGCCAATAAACAAGCAACGTGGAAGTCTTCCGAAGATTCATTGGCACTCCAATTAGAAGATGTGTCTGACCCTTGAGGAACTGTCGGTTTTCCGAAGTACGGTTCATAACTCAAACCAACATCCACCAAATGAAGAATGAAGGACGACCCACATTTCTTGTCCCGACAATCACCACCTGTTTGCTCTAGTTCGGAAGATGGTGAACTGAAGAAAGAAAATATTGTAGTAAACCAATCCATACGACCCCCAATTGCCACAATAGTGGCGCCTCTAACAGTAATAGAAATAGAATTATGGTTGCTCTCTGGATCAAAGAAGTGAATGATGTCCGAACCAGAATATCTAGAAGATAGTACATTTGAACCTTCGCCACTGCCACGGCCCATTGTAGATTCACTGCACGATATCAGAAGAAACTCGTGATGTACACCTTCAGTAATTGAACCCCACAAACTGCCTGGACCATGGGCCACCCATAGAAAATCGGCACTCCTGATTCCACCGATATTTGATACAGAAAGTAATTCAAACTTGTTGACTTTAAGTGTCAGACATGACCAAGAACCGGGCAGTTCAGAACGTGTAGAGAAAACATCCCCTACTGGCTCAATCGCCATTGTAAATGTAGCAGACTCACATTCTATAAGAATTGATGTTTGCGATACAGAGTGTTTCTCCCCAATCGAAACTGATTCAGAAGCAACACTTGAGAAATGCTCGAGCACCTGAGTTATGAGGCCGCTTAAGTTTTCATACTGAGATTTTCCCAGACTGATTGTTACAGGAGGTAATTTCCCATGAAGTAAAAATGTAGAACTTGATATTATCTCTTGTCGGGAACGAGCTTCGAAATTTTTGTTGTCCTTAACAGTTGTAACTGAGGCAAAATCGCAGCCTTTTCTTACATCTTTCTTTCCATTCTCTGAAGAAGCTAAAAGCTTGGCTTTCTGTGCTATCCAAGGGCCAGTAGCAAGGCCTTCTTGCCATAAAATACTAATGATAGACAGACCAGTTTTGTTCACAACAGAAATAATCTTCTCAACAGAAAAGCTAGCCTCCTGCATGTTATAGATCTCGCTTCCAACAGTTTTCTGTGTTAAAGGGGCGCTAATGGAGAAGAGATAAAAGTCACCGACGTTAAAATTCAACGAGCATGATGTGGTGGCAGTGAGCCTCCTGTCGGAACTTGCAAAAGGTGTTGGGTTAGAAGATTGGACATCTTTCCCACAAGTTCTTGGTGAAATAAAATCAAAAGCAATAAACTGTCTGCTAGAAGAGCTGCTGCTAAGATCTCTGTGGTTCTTGGGAGGAAAACAGAGGAAGATCCTAGCATTTAGAAGGAATATATGACCCTCCACAACTCTTTCAGCTGAAGCATGTGAAATTTTCCCTTCATCATTCTGAGGGAAAAATCCACGTTTCATAGCTTCTGAATCAGGCACATAATTACTCCCCTTGAGAGTTGTCTCCATGCAATTTTCCATATCTTTCAGAAATTGTAGCATCATGGTAATTGGATCAAAGCTAAACCAGCACACGAAATGCGGCAACTTCAATGTAAAAATTGTAGGCCCCATTGTTGAAGAACCAGCAGAACCCAAGTTTATCTTGACATGGCACTGAGTGGCACCTGAGGTCTTAAGCAAAGTTACACTGGCATCTTTCCCGCAGATATCTTTACCATTTATCAAGTGACGACATCTATTGATCTCCTTCATGTTCAGAGAAATATCAGTCAAATGATTAACCCGGTAATGTGTTCCGGGTTCTTTGTCAGAGTCTTGGAAAGCCAGAAAAGCGCCTTGCACATCGTCTTGCATTTTCCAGATCAAGGCAACCTCACTAGCAGAATTGTCACTAAATCCATGCACATTGGAGCCCACTGAATTATTTTCAGAGCACAAGTGATCAACTAGTTGAATATGTTGCACAATAACTTCAAAATTCATTTCTGAAGGGCCCACCTGCAGAACTTGCAATATCTTTTTATGTTAATTAAAAGAATGAATGAATAATAACATCAAGTGAAGTAATCAAACAAACACACATCACTAGTTATAATCCAAGAAACAGGAAAAGAAACCACATATAATTACCTGCACTGTAAGAAACAAATCAATCAACTGTGTGCACAGACGATGACTTTGAGAATCAGTATTGGCCTTATCATCTGTCGCTTTGGAGAACTGATTCTGGTCTTCATCAAGGAAGGATAAAAGGAGAGATACTTTTGCTACGGACGCATTAAAGTTGGTCTCAACATGCTGCTGCTCTGCACCCAGGTGAAGATAGTTAATTTTAGTTTCTGATGGCTGATGCAGTACTATAAAGAAAAAATATATGCAGGAAATGACTGTAATAGAACTTCATGCGTTTATGAGGGTGTGTGTGTGTGGCAATTGTAAATAACCAAAGTGGTACGAACACCTCGAAGCATTTAATCACGCATGTAGACAGTTCAAATAAGACCACATAACCTTCGGGATAAAGTTTAAAAGGATTTTATGAGTTCTTGATTGGAAAAGAGTTAGCTGAAGACACAGTAACCCAAGCCTCCCCACCGTAACCAAAATAATATCTGAAATTTCAGTCGTATAAACAGATAGGACAGGTACATCAGTGCAGAAAAGCACCAAATAAAAACCTTAGCAACTAAAATCACTGAGGAAGGTAGAGAAAACAATTCACATGCCTACACAGTGACTAAAAAGTTCATCGAACGAAAATGACAAGAGTCACCATTATTTCCTCTGATTCTCAAAGCACATTCACAAATTTCACTACTTGTCTTAATAACTCAAGTGGCTGAAAAACACAAAGCACAGACCAAAACCATAACTGAGCAGGTCCGGCTTGTTTTGCTTAGCATCCAAGGTCTGACATGTGTTTCATGGACCAATTATTAACTGACTGGCATGCTTTGAGAAATTCATGTCGAACAAAGACTAACAACAAAACTTACTACAACCATTACAGAACAAATGCAAATGAACATAACATCTCTAATGCCATAAGTTCACGGACATACTATACACTCAGTAGCTTGTGCAAGAGTTTACCTTGGAACACCTCAGATAACCCACTCTAATGTATCTCAAAAACTGTCCATTCTCCTCTACCACTACCAGAACCACGGCATATTAATAACCTAAATTCACCAATCCACTCTTGTCCAGTCAACTAAAAGCTAAAGTAGAAACAGAAATGACTTTTAGAACTTGAACCATGTGCAGAAAAGAGACTGAACAACAGATTTGATGCATCAAAAGATGATGCACTTCAATATTCATGTGAAGGTTAAAGAAAAAGGTAAATAAACATCAAGTAGTCTATAGTGCAATATCAACTAATATAATAATACAAAATTAAAATGGAGGCTATAAATGTTAACGAACATACCAGACGAGACATGTAAAGACCCAGAGGCAAGGTAGGAAGCTGCAGTTATTGCACTAAACACAGAACATGACCAGTTCCACATGCCACTATTCCCCAAAGCTGACTGTGAATTTCTTAGTCCATCAAAACACTCAAAAAATTGGTCCACACTGCCAATAAATCATTCATAGTAAACAGGTGTTAGAACAGCTTTAAGCTAGTTGGAGCAAAATAAATTAGGTAGAAACAGAATGGCAGCATTTTTTCACTCCCATGGAAAAACAAAAATAAACTGCATTACGCCATCAGGCATATGTGCTGAAAAAAGGAAGGTCAGTGAACGAGATCAGTCAATTTAGTATTCGCATCTCTCAAACAAGCACCCATGATGCAAATAAAAGATAAGGTTGACATGGGTGTCAGAACCAATGTCAATAGGTTATAGTCAACAATCATAATATGTGCTAAACGTGAACATGAATACTGTTTCACACTTACCATTTTTAGCTGGATACAACTTAATTTTAAGAAAAATATTTGCCCGAAAAGTTTGTAACATTGTAAAGAATACCAACCTTGCTCCAAAGTCTGGTTCTTCTTCATTTGCATCTTTCGAGCTTCTGCTCACCCAATCGGATATAAGATGCGATTCTGAGAGCAGATTATGTGCTGGTTCCTTCTCCATCACACAGCTATTGGCAATCAAGCACCCATTATAAGCTAACCCTTTTTCAGGAGGACCCACACAAGAACTTGGAGCTGACAATTCATCTGATGGTTCATGATAACCTGGATCCTTGGTCTTCTCAATAACACCTTTCAATAAGCCCCACATAAAGATGAAACACTTGACAGTGCTGGGTTGAAGTCTAATTTCAAGAGGCTCCAAATGAAGATCAGCATCCACTTTGTGGATGTCCAGTGAACCATTTTGCCATGGTAAACTTAACGAAAGATTTCCCGAAAAACCTCCATTTTCTCCAGAAATTATCGTAGTCATGTTACCAGATGAACAGTACCCTGAAAACCAGTTGCCAGCACTTGTTTCGGTGGGAAATTCAAGCGATGACTGATGATCAAGACCATCCACGTGGAGCAACTCAATCACTGCTCCCTCAAATTTCACATAATTTGTTAACCGACTGAAAGCAAGAAAATTATTAACCGTGGTGAAACTGCTCGACGAATCATCTTCAGAAATATGTGTTCCGCACTCTGCTTCACAAATCCGAAGCACCAAGATTCTGTCTAACCCGCTATCATTTCCATCTTCCAGAAGCGGATCAAATGCCACGATTAGTTTCTTAACTTTCACGTGGAAGCTCGTCAGCAACCACTTCACCATTTTGGCAATGGTTTTAACTCCTTCATGAACATCAACAGAAACTCCACTGTTTGGACTCTCAGTGTCTTGCTTTTTAGAACCATGACTGGAATTACTGCTGTCGACTTTACTGTGACTGGAAGTGTCGGGTTCATATCCGCAAAATTCCCCACCACGAGGTGCAAGAACAAACTCAAGCTCATCCACCTCAACCCGGCAGCCACCATCCTTCCAAGGCATAGTTACCGTAAGTGACCCCACAGACCCTTCTTTCAGTAGAACTGCCGCTGTTCCCAACTGAAAAGCAATCAGAGTCAACACAAATCATTACATCAATCAAATTAGACAAATTATTAACAAAAATAATAGGTGCCCTCATCTCAAGGCAAGAGAAAGCTTTCGATGCAGAGAATTACAGAATCATCACACTTGAAAATTGTTCTTCACTGAATTTTCCAGCTAAACCCACACTTCATTTGAACACACCCTACTCCATAGACTACTTCATATTCATACAAATAAGCTCAGACTCCTACGAGCAACATGAAACACTCTTCCCCAAATAAACAACAAAAAGCAGTAATCATAAACTCTAACAGCATCAACGAAATACAACCCACCTTCTCGTTTACATAATCGACATTCAGCGCAAGATCGGAGAGCTGAATTGTGCCAGCACCGAGCTGAACATCAAGCTGGTGAAGATCAATATCCCCAAGAATAAACTTGCCCAACTTCTTCTTGAGCAAAAATTTGCAGATACGCTTTACAGCCCACCGTGAGAACATCGCCTCAGCGGATTTCGTAATACTCCACGAAAACATATTTTGTACAGCAGAAATATACAAATTTTACTTTTTACTCTTGTTGCTTGGGCACTCCTTTTTAAAAAATTAGGGTTTTTCAAGGTCGTATGTAAAGAGAAATTGGTTTGATGGAGGCTAGAACCTCCATCCAGGTGAAATTCAGAAGATCGAAACACAAACAGGATTGTGACACAGGATTTTTCCTTTTTCTCCTTCGTTTTTTTCTTTTCCTTTTTCTTTTTCTTTTTGTATAGGCCGATTTAATTTGAGAAGAGTTCTGTTTTGGGAAGAGTCATGTTTGGATTAGAAATCGTGTTAATTACTGATTGATTGGGATGTGTACTCAAGACACCAAAAACATTCATGAATTATTACGAAATAAAACTAGGTTATTGATCTTGTCGGTTATAACGTATTAGGGGTCGTTTGGTAGGAAAGAGAGGTATGGGCAAACATCGGGAAAAGTCTCTCGATTGGATTGCGGGCTTATCTGCACTCGTGATTTTGATATACGGTGGAGTGACAAGTCGTGATATAATACTGCACTCCGCATTTTACCATCTTCTATTAGTTTGTATCATTGTCGTATTTTTAATCCTATAGCCTTGTTTAACTTAGGCCGTTTGTTTTTCGGAATATGATTGCACTAAATTAATACATAGTCTCCATGTTTGCTTTTTAGGATAGGATTGGACTATTTTGTACTGTTTGCATAAAAGTAATCCCTTATTTGTTATATATAATAAGGAGTGAGATTACTTTATAAAAAAAATGTATAGTTCACTACAAATGAAGCCAAATGGTGTAAAATACAGAATTACCCCTCCCAACAAATATCAGTCGCACAAAATCTCTTTTTCGTCATCTGCCATAATTTGAATGAAATGTGAGAAAGGGTATTATGAACACATTCATCGATTCTTCTTGTTTTTGTGCGTGGATGGTAATATCATTATTTTCCCCAAAATTTCATTTACATCATGGCAGATTTGAGAAATTTGAGGTGTTCGAACAAAGTGGGTGTCCGATTATCGGACAATGGAATCAACAAATTGAAAAAAGGTGTGAACTTTACAATCAGAGGGTGTTTTAGATTCTGTATTGATTTTTTTTTTTTACTTTTTATCTTTTCTGTGTTTCTGCGTCGATTGATGATGATTGTTGTGTGGGATAATTGTTTTCTAATGACAATGAAGATTTGAAAGATGAGCAGTCATTGGAGTCAGAAGAAGGTTTTGAAACCATAATTCTTGTTCAGAATTTGCCAGTGGTGTCTAAGGAGAAATTCGAGAAACTGGAAGGTGTAGTTCAGAAATTTACAGTCAAATTGGGGTTATTGAGGAGGGTGGGCTTTGGATGCCTGTCGACCCGACACTCAGAAAACCCTAGGATACTGCTTCCTTGAATTTGACACTCCTCAGGTAAGACATACCATTTTGGTTTCCTGTGCCATGTTGGTTTCCTATTGGTTGAACACATTTCTTTCTATGGACTGTAGGAAGCTGAATTAGCTAGGGAAAAGACAAATGGGTACAAGTTGGATAGATCCCACATATTTGTCGTTAACATGCTTGACGGCATTGAAAAGTTTATGAAATTTTCCTGAAGAACGAAATGACGGGATTTCCACTCCTCTTCTTTTTATTTAGGCAATCTTGTAATTAGATGGGGATTGAGGGATAACATTGTCTGAAACAAACTTATTTGAGGGCGAAATAGAAATCTACTACAACAGGATAGGAATAATCCCTTCTATTTCCTATGATTAGTTTATCCCATGTATGAGGGATTAAGCCATTTTTATACCGGGCCGATCCCATTCCCGCGGGCCTTAGTCCCATGAACCAAACGCAGGATTAAGCCTGGATTAAGTGGGATATTTGCCTAATCCCACCAAGCAAACATGCACAGTGTGCATATTGTAAGGATAAATATAATTTTGTATTTGTCAGATGTGATGATGGTTTAGATAATTTTGCGTTAACTCATAAACTAATTTGAATTCGTGATAGAATGAAGGATTAAATGTGAATGTACAAGTTTGCCCTCTTCTAGTCTGTCCAATAATATAGATTTTTTGTCTACATAATTCTCTCACAGCTCGAGCGAGGAGAAGCTTGGATCATTGGTACATGTCTGTCAACTAAATCTTCGGCGGTCGTATTGTCTCATTTCTCGGTGATGGAGCAGTATCGAGAATCTCATTCTCATTCAATAGGTTGAAGTCTAAACGCCTCCACTCCTTCGATGCATACCAACTTATCTGATTTGAAATTCAATTTATCTTACTTTAGTTGTGCCAAAATTTGGTTGCCTAATTTCGCAGACCCAAATTTACCAGGTAATGATGAAAGTGTAGTGTTGTGGTTCATAATTTTTCCATGAACACTCGATATGAAGTTCACGGGACAGGTTTTTAAGATTCGGATTCTCTTCCTCTATTAACGAGTCGTGAATGAAATGATGGTGTACCTTGTTGTTGCCATTGGACGTAGTTATTTGTCTTCAAGTTCCTAGGCCTTTGTACAAGTCACTACAAACTGTTGTGCGGCTAGTTGAGTCAATGACCCTGATATAACCATAGTGGAGCTAACCGGAATTAAGCCAAGTATAGACGGGTAGACCAGATGACAAAGTCAACCCAATCTTCAAATATGACATAGAGGAGGTAAGGGAGACCAGAGAGGGACATTTCCAGACAACCCAACTCTAATAGTTGACCTGAGAAGGGGAAGAAAACCTAAGACCATAAGAGGGGCATGCTCAACCAGTTCAAGCTTTTGAAGAAACTAAGAACTCTCACACCATATTCTGATTACCTGAGATAGCTGACAGAGATGCAATACAGAGGAACATGTCATAGGATTTCAGAGAAGCTTGGACAGACAGGTGACCCCCTGTGGCCCCAAGCCCCAAGCCTGTATTTCTATGGTGGGGTTGACGTCATTGAATAGTCACGCCCCGTCAGGTGCGGGTCCAGAGAATATGATCTAGGTAACTTTGAAGGGGGTGAAGATCCAGCTGCTGAACCAGGAGGGGACTAGTCAGATTCCACCATTGAACCCTATTGGAGAGGAACAAGAGTGCAGGGAAGGGGTTCGAGGAGTGGAAAAGCAGGTTGAAGGGTTGTGACCGCGCGTCGCAACACGACAAATTTAAATTTATAAAGTTTTCCTCGACTAACCTCTACTAACTAGTAGCAGTGGCGAGTAAGGGTCGATCCCACGAGGAGCAGAAATTAAATTGTGACAGTTCTCGTATTAATTGAATTAAACTATGAAAGCAAATAAATATGGGGGGATTGATTTTATAAAAAAAAAAAAAAAAATGAGAGAAGTCCAGTTTTCGGTTCAGTTATCACCCAATCTCAATCTACCGTTAATTAATTTCGACGCTTTCTCTAGATTTCTAATGAATTACCAACCCTAGCTAACAACAAGTTCTGTTAACCGAATTTTCCCTTACCGAATATTTAATCGAAATAAGCTCTTTGACTAAACTTAACTAGTGGACAACCTAGAATAAGCTCTCTAGATTTAATACACTAGCAGCAATAATTACTAGGAAAATAGATTAGTCTAAGCAGTGGTCGCAAAAGCTCGGACCGTTTAACTTATGTTCACGCTACCCTTGAGATACACGACCCCTAGTTTACTACTAATGAAATGAGACAATAACAATTACGGATTAAAGTCCCAAATATAGCAATTAAACTATGAACATTTAACGTAGTTGGCCAGACTAAATCAAACACCCGCAATTCATAAACATTAAACACAAATAGCATGAATCAACTCATCAACAAAAATAAATACGGCGTCTCGATTAATCAACGATAAATATAAATCCTTCAATCCATAGACAAATCAAAGTTAGGGTTCAAACATCCCCTAAAATTGGATAAAAAGTCTAGCCTAACATACTAATAAAAAGAAATAATAGATAGATAAAAGAGAGAGTATAAGATCTCCCTCGTGTACGGGTGCGGCTTCCCTCCACGTGTGTAGCTCTTTTTCCCGTGCGTGCGTCTCTTGTGCCGCTGCGTCTTTTTTCTCTTCTCGGCTTCTGCGTCTTCCCTCTCAATAATCCCCGCCTGGCTTACTTCTTTTTGGGAAAATAATTACCCCAACACTCCAATAGGTCACGGCTCTCCAAATAAATCACTTCATGGCGGCTAAATTAATTCCAACATACCAAAGTCCTTAGGAGATAAAATACTCTTCACAATATAATCCTCCCAATTAGTCACGTGAGTGAGTGCTTCAAAATTCACCCAATTAGTCCTCCAAGTGATTAAACACTCACGGCCCAATTCTCTTTATTCATGTGCTGCCAGCCTTAATGGCCTAATTTGATCCAGTATTCGGGCATCTCGATAAATGCTACTTGAACTCCTAATATACTGAAAAATAATAAATAAAACATCAAAGCAAATAAATTCATCCAAATAATAAATATGTCAAAAAATACAAACGTGCGATTAAATTAAGCATATAAAAATACACTACTAAATATATAAAACGCGCACATTTTCCGTCCTATCAGTTGCAGAGGTGTGAAGGAGAGGTTTCACCTCAGACACAATGACCTTAAACTAAGACCAAGTGATTAGCCTCACTCAAGCTGAGTTATAGAAAATGATCGCAACTATAACAGCAACGGTAGTACAGACACTGTTCGCAAAATATTTTCACTAACTACAAGTGTACGGTGTAGCTATAGTAAGCGGCGAGCAATGTCATATTCCACAAAGATTGTCGTTAAAATAATTAAGTAATAAAATTTAGATGATTAAATATTATTTCGACTAACTCAAATTTGATGGAGATTCTACACTAAATTCCATGAGAACAATAAATTAATTCTAACAACTAAGAAAGGCTTATTCTAAATAAATCAAGAATGAAAAATAAATTTTAGGCTAAGTTTATTGAAAGAAAGGGAAGAAGAATTTTTTAGCCAAAAATACCAGACTCTTATTTCTCCCCTAAAAATGGAAATATGGAGGGAAGAAAAAACCAGGAATGTGATTTTTTTCCTCAATTGTTTAAGTTATTTTACTTTTTTATACTATTAAGAAAAAAAATAGTTTATCTTACTTCATTTGTTACCTCTTCCATTTATTAACCAAACACGATTTGCATCTATCTAAAAAAAATCTCCAAACAAATTTACACTACCCACTTCCCTCCATTTAGCGGAACGGTAGACTAGACCCTAACGATAAAGTGCAATTTTCATCCTATTCAACCAAATGATACATTAGATTTTATCATTGACTGGACTTTTGAAATATGTACATATCTACATGGATGTATGTTGATCCAAGCGTGAAATCTACAAAAGAAACACACCTTAAAAGTGAAAATTTCTCCTATTTGAAGATGGTGTATCCCTTGTGACAGTCCTTTTTATGGAGTCGGTATTTTACCATTTTTTTATTCATATGCTAGGTACAACAATAAGACTGTTGTTAGCAAGAGACATAATGATTAGACAATAACAATATTTATTAACATATATGCATGTTTTAATTTAAAATGCCATATTAGAATACAACAAAAAAAGGAGTATGATATTTTATAAAATAATTTTTTTAATATAATTAAAATAGTACGAATAATTGGCCCACAGTTAAACCACCTCTTTTGTAGTAGCAATGGTAGTTGATACACTAGAGCAATAGCTCTTAATCTCTATTTATCGGTGACCCAAGAATTGGGTCACTAGCTAAAGACAAAAAAAAAATCACAAACTGATACGTTAGGTTGGCAAGTTGTAGGTGGGAATGAGACGCTTGTCCAATTCTTATTGGTTCTCTTGATTTTTTAGATAGGATATTTTGAAATACTTTTTTAAGTATAATATTTGTTGTTATTTTATATTAAAAAAATCGTCAAACTTTGTATTTTTCCATTCTTTATAGATAGAGACAAAAATGAGCAAAATCTAGTCGAAACCGAAAAATCGAGCCGAACTGATGTATTCACATGCAGTTCGGTTGTCAAAATTATGGTTTGCAGTGCGGTTAAGATTTTTAAAAACCGCAAAAAATCGGTGTGGTTTGGTTTTATGGTCGAATGATGCGGTTTTAACCGAACCACATTGAATAAAGTTTATCTTATATTATAGGTATATATATATATATGTATATATAATATATTACACAAATGCCTATATATATTATAGGTATATATATAATATTAAACAAATTTTGTTTTTGTTATAATTTTTTTGCTACTTGCTGTTAATCAAACCGCACCGAAACCGAAAAATTTGATTTAGTTTTGGTTCGATTTTTTCTTCACAACTGTGCGGTTCGATTAGGACTTTTGAAAATTTTCAGTCGGTCACCGAACCGCATCGATGTTCACCCCTAGATAGAGACCACATTTGATATAATTTGAAATAAAATTGCAAATTCTACTTTTTCTTAATTTCCAACAAATACTATATGATCCAATTTTTTAATATTATCTTCTGCTCCCATTTCGAGTCAAGAGATAGATAAACAGACACATCCCATTTCACTGATCGGGGGCGTTCGTAGTGACTGAGGGGGTCGAAGACCAAGAAGTGAGTTATTTATACCAAACATTCTTCTTA